CAACAGGTAGCAGGATGGCTCAGCTAAAAAAAAAAAAAAATGCACAGTCCCAGGCCCTACCCCAGACTTACTCAATCAGAACCTTTGGGGGTGACAAACCCTCCAGGAGATGCTGACGCTCACCAGAGTTTGAGAACCGCTGGCCGTGACAGGGCTTTAAAAACCCTTGCAGTGCCTTTGGAATCTCTGTTATTATCACGTGAGCCCACTATCAGCAATGTACCACAGAACGAGAGCCCTGACCTCCAGTGGCTGACATCCATAGCTATTTCCTTCCCGGAAACATCCTCATGCGCTCATATTTTTCCCATCTAAAGAATAAAGGACAGGCTCATGTAACAGGAAACCACTCTAAGCTAAAGCAGTAATTATTGGGAGGATAAAGAACAAGGACTCGCGAATACCCAGTCTGGCTCTAAACCTCTAGAAGACTCTGTGGTCTTAGGTTGATTTGACTTGCTGGTAAGTGTAAAAGCGGAGAGAAGAAAATGCTGAACCTAGGGGGTCTCTCCATCTTGAGTTCTATTTCTAGACAGTCAGAAATGTGGTATTTTTCTCTGATGGTATTAAACACGAAAAAAAAAATTGCTATAGCAACAGAGCCAGGAAACACTCCATTTTGAGGCCACGGTTAAATGTAAGTTGCTGAAAAAGCTCACATAACCTTAGATCATAGGGCATTTCATTTTGGGTGAAGAATCTAAAGATTCAGTGGCTGATTCTTGACACCATACCAGGTGTGTCTGCCCTACATCTTGTGATTTGGCCTTAAAATGCCGGGCCCTGTGGGTCAGCAATGGTGGATTTTGTGACCTGTAGGCTCACCTTCAACCTGACAATTAGAAGCAGGCCCCTGGAACCCAGTGAGGTCAGGGCAGCAAGAGGTCTTGGCCTCTACTCTTCCCCCATCTTCTGGCTTAACTGAAGAGAACGAGGAAAAGAACAACAAATTAAGAGGAGGTAAGTCCATCATCTCATTTAATTCCTTCAGCAAACCCCAGCATATGCCCCCATGTTACACATGTGGAAACTGAGGTGCCTAGAGGTCAAAACCTGATGAAGGGCAGGGTTAGAAACCAAGGCAGGTGTGACTCGGGGTGGCTAAGCGTGTGCTCTTTCTGCCTCGCCCACTACAGGGAACAGAGAGAGCTCTTGAACCTCGTCATGTGAGAAACAATTGAGGGGTTCTGAGACTTGGGGGAGGCCATCAAAATGGTCCTCAAAATCTGATGGGGCTGTTATAGAAACAAGAGAGCAAGTAGATTTATTTTCTGAGGCCCCAGAGGACCAAACCAGGGCCCATGGGTATAAGTGACAGGGCAGCAGAGACTGACCGCGGAAGCCTGACCATGAACCCTTCCCATCGCGATGGGTAAAAGGAAACCGCCGGGCTAGTAGCCAGCTTCTGATCTGGGAGGAGGCTGCTCAGGGACCTCTAAGCCTTCTCAGCTCTTCTGTTATATCATCTCGATATGCACATATTTTTTGTTGTATTACTTGTTGGGGTTTTTGTTGGTGTTGCTGCTGTTATTATTTTTGCCCGAAGATACAAATAGAATCTGATAAAAGCATTACTATGCCTTGCACACTGGATGGAGGTTCTCTAAAGCCACTTTGTCACATACTCATATTCTTCTGGTCCATTCATTGAAATTCTGTCTTATTTTTATACCCCTAGTTGGAGCGAAGGAAGGACCTCAAGGGACTCTGCCAAAAATTCTTTCATATGTTCTAAAGATATTTGCATGACAAAGCTATTCTTGTTTTAGGGATTGTGTGTGTGTGTGTGTGTGTGTGTGTGTGTGTTCTCTTTGCCTTGCCATATGGGCAAGTGAAAATGAAGGTAATACTGTTGATTTTTCACTAAAACACAACACAGTGTGACTCACTACACCCCAGCCTCTCCCTGCACTCTGCCAGGTCATCTTTTCCTGGCTCAGATACATGCTGCCATGTTGTAATCAGCTGTATTGCATATTCATTGTCCTGCTTCGGTTTCTACAAATCATCTACCTTAGTGATGCCAGGAAGGTTCTCTGAGGTATTTGTGTAGCTGAGACACTGAAAACAGACACTATGAGGAAATGGTTCCTTAGAGGATTCTTATAGTGAAACCCAAGTTCTGTTGTGACCTAGTCTTTGAGTAGCACAAAAACACACTGGATAACTGTACAGCAGCATTTTTAGTGACCTCGCCTTAACACACTGGTGGTAAACAAAGACTGAATTGTGAAGAGCATAGACCCAGCCTCCACGCTGGCATTGAGAAGCCGTTGGGCATTCGCTAGACTCCAACACTGTAGGGACTATTTTCCAGTTTCAGACTCATCAAAATCACCTCTCACAGGGCCGGCTGAGTGGCACGATGGTTAAGAACTGGCTTGGGATGCCAGAGGGCCCTGGTTCGGATCCCACATATGAGGGCCAATGACACTGCCCTCCACAGCTAAGATGNAAAAAATTACCAAGACTGGCAATGAGAAATAAAGGCAAATAGGGGCTAAGAAAGAAAAGTTTACTTCAGTGGGTCTGAGGTGGGGCCTGAGAATCTGCATTTCCAATCGTCTTCCAGGTGATGCTGGTGCCGCTGTGCAGGGGCCAGACTCTCAGAACCACTGGTAAAAGGCACAGCCCTCTCCAGGCCCCAGGGCAAGCCAGGTGTGAGGTATTTACAATAAAGGGGGCATATATTTGTAATTTTCTTAAGACATTTAGAATTTCAGTGCCTGGGTCTGTGTTTGGCTATCTCAGGGCTGACCTGATGGCTTCTCTGTCTCACTTTCCCACTGATGGCCCAGGATGACCCGTGGCCTCTCACGCCTTTCATTCTTCCCTCCTAGGTACAGTTCTCCAGGCTGAGTTTTGGCTTTGGTTCCAGCCATCCCGATCTGCCCTTGCCAACCTCCCTCCCACGGCTCAGAGCTCTGCCAACCAGTCCATCGAGCATATGCTGTCTTTTCTACCTTGTACTTACTACACCCCTTTGCAGGGAACAGGGTTCTGGTCTGTGCTGGGCTGTGGGTGGACCTCCCTGCCCCCCGGGGGCTGCCCCACGTCTCCGGCGGCCAGGCTTCACCTGCCTGGCTAGGCCCAGCTACGCCCTCTTGGAAAGTCAGGTGCCCGGTGGTTCTAGATCTCTGCTGGGTTTGCTGCCGATGGTGGACTCTGATCCTTGCCTGTCCGAGCCACTCGCCATGGTCACCTTGGCCACCTCCTAGCATGGGCTGTCGCCCTAGTGGACAGGCCTCCGCTCATTCTGAACCCTACGTTTTCTGGATTACCCCCAAGAAACTATCATACTAGAGTCTTAAGATAAAACAATCAGTAAATCATTTTAACAATTATGTACTGAGCAGCACTGTGTGCCTAACACTGCTTTTGGCCCTGGTGACAACAATATACAAAACAGAAAAGATCCT